CCAGCCTTGGAGAAACAAACCAACCGGATCCACAGACGCCGGAACCCGGGAGGGACACTAACGCCGCTGGCATCCAGCTGAGCTCAGTGTGAGATTCAGCAGATGGAATTTAATACAGACACTTTGGAAAGTTCTGCATCTGGCTTTGAAAACTAACTGCACAAGCAGTGGGGAGGGAGAGCGGCCTGTCCGCAGCCCCTGCAGGAGCCGAGCCTGGGGCTCAGCAGAGTCGCTGGGTGTTGAGTTGCTGGAAAAGCTCATGTCGGGAAAGAGTAAGGTAAGGAGCCGCCCAGGGAGGAGGAGGTGAGAGACCCGCTGTCCTCGGGGCTGGCCCAGCGCCATCTGGGCCTGCTCTTCAAGGGAGGGAAAAGCAGCACAGGTGCAGGAGGAATGTTCTGGAAGGTTTGCAGAGGAGAAGACGGAGACAGAAGACAGAGTAGGCTGCGGAGTCAGCAGAGCCCTGGGTTGTGTCCCAGCTCCGGCACATTCTGTGACCTCCCACAAGTCCCTTGGCCTCTCTGAGTCTCAGTTTCCTCATCAGTAACGTGGGAGTGATAATAGCTATTTCTCAGAGCTGCTGTGAGGACTCTGTGTCCAGAAGAGAGCCTAGGGCTTGGCCCAGAGGAGGCTCCCAGGAAGTGGTGGGTCTGCAGAGCTGGAGCTGCCCAGCTGGAGAAGGGACTTGTGGGGGCCCGAGAGTTGCCTGTGCTGTGGAAGGAGCTTCCAGTGTCAGAAGAGGTAGGCCCCACCCACATGCACACAAGCACACACAGGCACATGGACATGGACTCCAGGGCGGGACCTGTGTCCTGAACGTGGATTTGGTCAGAGGTCAGGACATCCTTCTAACCACCAGGAACAGTTCAAGGACGTAAGGGGCTGCTCTAGTGGTAGAGGGGACATTGAGGCTCAGGGACTTGCCAGGGTGACTTAGCAAGGCCAGCTCTGAACCCATGCCTCTGAGGAGCAGAGCCAGCACTTACAACCACAACTTGAGGAGGAAGATGCAGAGGGGAGGGACAGAGCAGGGGAGGGAAAGTCAGAGGCTGAGGTGACCACGGAGAATGGGGTGGACACCAGGCCAGGCCGGTGCAGTGAGCCCGAGCCCAGCCAGAGAGGGTGGGGGCCTCCCAGGCCAGGTGGAGCTACTTACGGGTAGTAGGAGTAGGCATAGTGGTCTCTCCTGGCAGCGTGCAAAGAGAGAACAGCACAGTCGTGTCCCAGGTCCATCCACCAAGGCCGGGCTGAGGCAATGCCCAGGCAGCAGGGCGGGCCTGGGTGCTTCCCGGGCTGGGGAGGGGCTGGCCAAGGACTGGACAGGTCAGAAAGACCTTCCTGGTCCCAAATGCTGGTCAGGCTGAGACATTAAGGACCAGGACCCAAGGCCCCTCTGGAACCTTCCCCAAGCCTACTGCAGAAGTGAGGAGGAGGTGCGGGAAAGGGCCTGGGGACCACAGAGCTTTCACACACAGTCATACACATATGCACACTCACACAAACACACACATATAGATACATGCTCACATACACTCATACACAGAGAAACACACATCAATACACACTCATGCACACTCACAAATGCAGACACACAGGTGAAAACACAGGCATACACGTGTATTCAAACACACTGACACACATTCACTTACACAGACATATATTCACAAACACACACTTATACACATTAGACATCCCCTGACACACACAGACTCATACTCTTGAGGGTAACTGAGCTTACCAGGGCTGTTTTTGTCCCTGAAGACAGCACCCCGCCCTCCCTCCCTGCAGGGCCCTCTGTCCCTAAGGGGTCAGCCCTTTGCCTGCACTTCCACCTGGGTGGGGACAGAGAGGGGATGGGGTGGAGAGAACTCCAGATGGATGCCCAGGATACACCTAGGGCCCGCCTTCACCCACCCTGCCCTGGGTGTGGGATCCACTAAAGTAGCCAGGTCATCCCCTATGGGAGCACCTGGGGTACAGCTTCAGTCAAGAGCCCCACTTTGCTGCAAAGCACCCACAGTGTAAAGCAGGTCAGATTCCCACTTGACAGTCAGCAAAGCTGAGTCAGGGAGGATAGGCTGCCTAGGCCTCTCTCTGGGTGTCAGTGGCAGAGTCCCGAGCAGACCCTAGGCTTCCAGACACCTGCCCCAGGACCCTAGCCCTGGAATCTCCTCTGTGCTCCCTTCCAAAGCCCCACCCAGGCTCTCCAGAGTTCTCCATTCACTCTCCCCCACATCACCCCATCAGCAGGGTCCCCAGCGAATGGCCTTCCATAGGAAACCTGCAGATGAAGGGGCGGAGACAGAAGATGGACCAGCAAAGGCAGGAACTTGGCCCCAGGTCACAGAGCACATCTCCTCCATCCCAGGGAGAGAGAGGAGGGTCCAAGGCACTGGGGCTGTCACAGAGGCCCCACAAGGGAGGACACAGCTGAAGAAATGGCATTCTTTTGGCTGGACACGGTGGCTCATGCCTGTAATCACAGCACTTTGGGAGGCTGAGATGGGCAGATCACAAGGTCAGGAGATCGACACCATCCTGGCCAACACGGTGAAACCCCATCTACTAAAATATAAAAAATTAGCCAGGCATGGTGGTGTGTACCTGTAGTCCCAGCTGTTTGGGAGGCTGAGGCAGGGGGATCCCTTGAACCCAGGAGGTGGGGATTGCAGTGAGCCAAGATTATGCCACTGCACTCCGGCCTGGTGACAGAGTGAGACTCTTTATGAAAAAAAAGAAAAGCCGGGCGCAGTGGCTCAAGCCTGTAATCCCAGCACTTTGGGAGGCCGAGGCGGGTGGATCACAAGGTCAAGAGATCGAGACCATCCTGGTCAACATGGTGAAACCCCATCTCTAC